CAGGGTCTGTCAGAGTTCTGTCTTGGGGACTCTCTTCCTTGCTCTGCTCTTTCTATGGGCCAAATATCCATCAGTCATCACCATACATATACCATTTGTACCCTGATGACTACCAAATTTGTCTTTGACCCAAACTTCTCACTAGTTAAATATCCAGTGACTGAGCACAGTGGTTCCCAAATGTTGGCCCATGGACTGCGAAGACCAAGTTTTCATTGACATATACTATAGACTCAATATCTTAGACAGGTAGTTCTCAAATCAGCAATTAAGACACAAATCAAGCTCAGTCAAATTATCCTTGAAAATCCCCCAGGAAAGGACCACATTGAGGACCCACATACTGTCTCTCGTTAAGACTAACGTAGTCAGTTTCTCTCCAAGATTTTTAAAACAGATTTCTTTTTCTTTTGTGGATACTAGAAAAAAAAATTTGGCTTGCATTCTTTAAAAAAAAATTTTTTTTTAAGTCTATTAAATTTAAGAATCACACCTGGCACAACAGATACAAACTTACCATCTCACACTCTTCAAGGGAATATGCTCATTGCGTGGAAAGGCAAACAGAACAACCCGTACTTTTTGAGCTGTTTCTTTTTCTCCAGGAGCACAGATTTAAACTTGCTAAGTTAATTCTTACATGAAGTGACTCCACATATGATGGTATCTGTGCTTATATATTATATATAAAGGTAATGTGTATGGGAATATGTGTAAGGCCTTCAGGCTGATGAGCTCTCCCCCTACTCCCTTTGGTCACCTAACTAACTGCTTTTTCCTCTTCTAAATTTACCTCAGCAATTCTCTCTATAAGGAATCTTTGTCACTCCCCAGATGCCCGTCCTCTGGGTCTCTGCAGTGTCCTGCACTAATACAGGTCGTGGCACATACCACAGTATCTATCCAGACCATGAAGTCCCTGAATGGAAGAAACATGTCAAACCCTGTTCTTATTTGCCTGTGTCTCCTTGGTGCACAGCAGGTTCTGGATAGGTGTTTATAGAAATGAATGAATAAAGACAAAGCAAACACTCTTGGCACACTTTCTGCTAAAGAAATAAAGAGACAGTAACATTTTGGGGTGGGCTAAAACATGGGATTACCCTTAGGCTGCTAAAGAAATAAAGAGACAGTAACATTTTGGGGTGGGCTAAAACATGGGATTACCCTTAGCCAAGGACTGTTCTGGCTCATAAGTGTGAATCTTTTTGATTTTTTTCCCTCTCTGCACATGCAGCCAAGGACTGTTCTGGCTCATAAGTGTGAATCTTTTTGATTTTTTTCCCTCTCTGCACATGCACAAAAGTTTATGTATGAGATGGAATATGTTAGATGAAGCCTGAAGTATGTGAAAAGACTAAAGAATACCCAGAAGTGAGACAAACCTGAATGCCTATCTGACTTTGGGTTAAATGAGACAGGCATTAAGGGGCAGGACAGGTCTTCCAAAGAAAGCTGGCTCCCAGCCTACCCTAATTCAGAGGATAAGATGCCTGTCAGCTTTTACCAACTCTAGCAGCTCTAGCACCCAAGTCACTATGGAGAATGGCCCTGGTAGCTGAAGGTCAAAAATGCTGAGACTGACTAGGAAACCAATGTTAGCCTCAGAACAGGTAGTTCTTAGGCATGGCCACTAGTATATTATAAGTTCTATCACCCCTTTTTCCATTAGTCTCCCTTTTCAGGATCCAAGAATCCCCTCTTGATTCAGGCCCAGGGTTCCTATGGCCAGGAGGCCCTCAGGAAAGAGGGAATTATGTTAAATTTGTTGACACTACTGTATTAATGATAAGATGCAATATTCAGATAATGCTTCACTCAAAGAAATAAATTTTATTGCTGGAACTTCATGTAACAGTGAGGCTAAGATTCTACTAGTCCTCAAGGGACTACTCACTCTACCTAAAAGAAAGGTGGCTCTGACCTTCCCATGAAGGACTGAGGAAGCTCCAACACGACTCAAGACACAGCCCAGCTCTATCCCAAAGGCCAAATCCAGTTAACATCTTCAGTACACAGCATTGGGAAGAAGAGCTTTCACCTTCCCAATCATGTTCATGTATCCTGCAGGAGCAGAACAATGATCTCGTTTTTCACTACTACAACTACCACCTAACAATTACTCAGAGCTTCAGAGCTTATAAAGTACTACTGACTGCATCCCACACTACAATCTGCTTCTGCATCCTCCACTTAAAAGAAAGCCATTGTGCCCAGCTACAGGACACTGGAGGGGCATGCATTACCTGCTCTGGGACTTGCGATGACCACGCATGTCCTTCTTGGGTCTCCGGGTGACTGGTGGGGCTGGGGTAGAGGGCAAGGGGGGTGGAGCAGCAGGTGTGGGCGAAGGAGGTAGACCATTGCTTGGCTTACTCTTGGGGTTCTTGTCAGCCTCATATTCAAAGGTGCGCTTGGGTTTGGGGACAGGGTTCACAGCGGGATCAAGGGAGCTCTTTGATGGCAGCAGCTGGGAGCTAGGGCTATTTCCTAGGGTCCCTGGCTTAGTGGAGCCACTGCCTTCCCTCTCCGGGGGTGGACCCGCCTCCCCCCCAATGCCAGCCACTCCTACTGCCCGGCTGCCAGTGCTCACACTTGAGCTCCCTGTTGGCTCCTCCAAGGTACCCAAGGTTCCAGTCTTCCTTCTCCCTCGGTCTACACTGTAGCAGCTGCTGGGGAGCTGGGGGAGTCCCCGGCCTGGCTGCTCCTTCAGAGCCTGTTCAATTTTCTGGATCCGGCTCAGCACTGCTGAGCTCTCTTTCCTGCTGCCATGTCCCCTAAGGAAGGCACTGGGCTCACTCCGGCCTGGCCGTTTCTCCAGCCGGTAGAAAGAGTCCCGGACAGGGAGTGCCTCTCCCTCCTCCTCGGTCTCAGGGTAGGAACACTCGGAGAAGGTCCTGCTCATTCTCCGGAGGCCCTTGAAATCAAAGGTCTTTTCTGAGCTGCAAGGGGATGGCACCACGATGGGACAGCCCACACTGGGGCAGCCCTCACTGACCACCCACTCGCCCCCAGAGGCCTCCCGCTTCTCTCCACACATGCTCATCCTGGGCGAAGCCTCTCGGCGACCTTCCCATGCTGAAATCTTCTCCCGGATGCCCAGGCTGTGGGCACGGGTGCCTGTGCGGGTCAGCAAAATGCTCCGTGGGCCAGCTGCTGGCCCTAGGAATGGAGTGCTCTGAGCAGGGGGGAGGCAAGCAGCTACTCCCTCTACATCCTGGGCTGCGTCTTGTATGTTCTCCTTCTGGTCCTCTCTCTTACACACTGAAGGGCTTCTCTCCAAATAACCAAAACTGGTGGCTTTGAGGGGACAGATGGGTGGTGAAGTATCTGGAGAAGGATCTTGAGGATTTGGGGGTGAAGAATCACGGGGTTGCCAGTCCTTGAGGAGCACCCGGGAGCTGGAATGACTGGGATACCTGCAGGCTGAGGTTTCACTATCACTGAGGGGATAGATGGGACTCCTTGGTGGGGAGAGAACTGGAGGTGGAGAGACTGACTGAGACCTAGGAGCAAAAAGAAAAAGAAAATAGTAGTGAGTGGCCTAACAACCAGAGGCTTCACGTCTTATTCTTAGAGAGCTCAGCATCTCTTTCCTGTAGGACTCTCAAGCTAAAAAGAACTCTATCCGACTAATACATCTTTGAGGTGGTCCTCAAGGAAAGAAACACTCCTTAACCACAGCAGGCCAAATTCAACAGGGCTCCTTGCCCAACTTATCCCTAGAGACCCTGAGTAATGTCTGGAACAGAAGCCTGTTCTGTGATAGGCTAGAGCATCCCAAGAGTCTACATCTGCCAACAAGAGAACAATAAGACCACTGGTGTATTGCTACATGTTTAACAACTAGCTCTCTGGGGGAGAAAGTATAGATTCGTAACATTTGCCAATTTCCGCAGAACAAATGTTCCTATTGTACCTGAGCTACCAATGTGAATCCAGTGAATGTGGAGTGGAGAAGAGATATTAATGATCAACTGACACAGGCAGCTCTAGCTTCCTGAAGTAGCCACAAATACATACACTCAAGCCCTTTGATCTTTCCCCTTAACAAGCCCAGGCCTCCCCTGAGACTTCTACTATTGGACACAAGATCCTATTTCCTCAGCTTGGGTCTTGACCAGAATTAGGATCACTGAGGGCCTCAAAAAGGTCAGGAGGGGCACTCAAGAAAGAGTCCTTTCTGCTCTCTCAGTGACGAGGGTAATGGGAACGAGAGACCAACTCCCTAGGCAGCCCCACTCTCCAGTGGTAGCACCACATCTGATAAGCATCAGCCATTTCCCAATTCAAAATCCATATACAGATCTTAGCAAATACCAGGAACGGTTCTAAGTAAACATTTTTACATATATTAACTCATTTAATCTTCACAAAAATTCTATGAGGTTACTATTTTGTATTAATATGTGCATTTTACAAATGAAAAACATTAAGGCATAGGAAGGTAAATATCTCATGCAAGGTCACTCAGCTGGTAGGTGTTGAAGCCAGGACATGAACTTATTCATGAACTATACTGCCTCTCTAAAGAGGAAGCAGTAGCCTCTGACATCTTTGTCAACCGCCTGGGCCCCCAGACATAGCTTAACAGAAACCTCCGCAGCATTGCACACACCTCTGTCTAGAACATTTGTACTTGGTCTTCCCTATCAGACCATGATTTCTTCTAGGCCAAGAGACACACAGTCAGTAGGTGGAAGGTGCTCAGTAAACGATGGACAAAAAAAAAGAAAGGAAAAGGTAAAGGTCGAGCATATTGAAGAGAACCATGAGAATACTCCTTCACACACCTTTCTAGTTGTCTACAGGGTAATCACTGTCAACTTTCAGAATTCTTTCCAAACAGTTTCAGTTCAAAGACAGCAGGATTTTGCCAATGCTACATGCTAGAAAGGCCTACCTGACCCTAATGCCATGGCCCTCAAAGCTGGGCTGTCCAGCCTTGCAGGCTCTAGAGTGCCATGCCATCTACAAGAAAGCAGCAAGCTACCCCTGAGCCAGGCTGCTGTCACTGCCTGCTCACACAGAGAAAACTGGAGTTAGAATGAGTCAGGGATTGGCCGACAATTCCCTGTTGGGTCATAGCCCCTGGCTGCCCTCAGTCAACAGGAAACCTCAACATACTTAAGTTGTTTTTAAAAGGGCAAGTCAAGCAAGAGCCATCCCACATGTACATGGACACAGATGAGAGATATTCCGTGCCCGGCCAAGCCAATGACCAAAGAGACTCTGCTCAGTGAGGAGGTGTGAACAGAGTAAGCCTCAGCCCTCCCTAGGGTAGGCAGCAGCAGGGCAATGTGCCAGGCTCAAGCCTGGGGAGATCCCAACCTACTCACAATTGACAGAGGCCTTAGGCCTCTCATTTATCTTACACAACCATAGATGCAAAAGGTCATCAGTCCAGCCCCCTAAACAAATGAGTGCCTGGGCTACACAAAAAAACTCTATTTCAGTTATTCTCAACTGGAGGTAAGAGAAGATGCATTTAAGAGAGGACCATATCATTTGCTTACTCACTCAACAAGCACTTAGTGAGCACCTCCTATGTGCTAGGCCCTGTTCTAGGTGTTGGATATAAGAGTAAACAGACAATAATTTATGTCCTCATGAGGCTTAAATTGTAATGGCAGATTACAGGCACCTAATGAGACTCAGAATCTCTTGGGGTGCCTTTTAGAACTATTCATGGTCTCACTCCTCCAGACATTTTAATACGTGCTCCCCTGGGGATGTATCTTCCCAATCCCCAAGGTAAGAACTCTCTTGTCCGTGGAACCACTGTTACTTATGGGAGTGTAGGGCATGGCTCCCACAGGTGGGACTGAACAATGGTTGAGGATCTCTGGTAATTCCAGCATGCTTAAAGAAAGAATGATTCTATAACTTCCCTTAGTGGTTCCAGCACGGACAAATCCTCACAGGTTAAGAAATTTCTAGGTGGGACTGAACAATGGCTGAGGATCTCTGGTAATTCCAGCATGCTTAAAGAAAGATTGATTCTATAACTTCCCTTAGTGGTTCCAGCACGGACAAATCCTCACAGGTTAAGAAATTTCTCTCAATGCCTAGCCTGCTACTGAGGTTTCATTTCCCTCCTCTTGTGAAGGATAAAACAGAGAGCAGACTGACCTTTTCCTTTTAACATCCTCTCTTTGTTATCATTGCTGATCTGGGGCCACGGCTACAAATGCTGCCCTTGCTCAGCCTCTCCACATAGGCCAGGCCCAATGCACTCCAGCATCTTGGGACAGAAAGAGGGACCTGCCTACGCCGACCTATAGCCCAGGCATCCCTGGGTTCATCACAGAGAAGGCAGCATTCACTTGCTCCCTGCCATCATGGGGCTGACATTCTCACTTGAGGGTGGAATTCACTGCTATCTCTCCATGTTTCTGATTCTACTTCTTATTAGGAATGTGATCATGGGTAAAGCTACTCACTCTCTGAGCATCCATTTTCATTTCCTCAAAACTGTTCTAACTTCATCACAGGATTGTCATTATGGGCAAATGAGACCATAGATGTGAAATGTTAATTTTCATTAGGATTGTTCTTCACTAGGTTATGCTAGGCCAGTCATTCTCAATAGAGAGTGAGATCATGGCCTTAGGGTTCAAGTTTTAGTGTAGCCACTTACCAGCTACATGACTTTGAGCAAGTAACTTTCTCTCTCTACGTTTCAGTTTCCTTAACTATAAAACAAGGGTTAAAAGAACAAATATGTCAGAGGATTGTTGTGAGATATAGAGATAATAGATGTCAAGCGTTGAGCTTAGTGTCTAATACACAGTGTTCAATCTTAGCTTGATAATTACCAATATTAATATGGGAGTTACTATTCAGAATAGTCACCTGGGAAGCTCTGTCAGTTTACCTCTGTCCTTGGATTCTAAATATTATTAGGGTAGGGGGAATAAGTTAGATATGGCCATGAATTCTTTGCAGCCCATCATAAAGAAAGAAAAGAAGGTGGAGTCTACTTCTCTGCCCTTGAATCTGGATTGACCTTGTGATTTGCTTTAACCAACAGAATGTGGTGGGAATTAAGTTGTCCAAGTTCTACACCTGAGGGCTCAAGAGGCCTTGCAATTTCTCCCTCTACCCACTTAGAATGCTTCCCTGAGCCTGTCACATAAGGAAGCCAGTCTAGTCTTTTAGAGTATGAGAGGCCATGTGGAGCATAGCTGAGGCACCTCAGCCAACAGCCAGCCACCAACTGCCTAATACATGAGTGTGGCCATCTTGGGCCCACCTGAGCCCAGCTACATACATGAGTGAGCCCAGGGAAAACCAGCAGAGGGACTGCCCAGCAAACCTTTATAAATTTGAGAAATAATAAACTGTATTAAGGCACTAAGTTTTAGAACAGTTTGCTACACTGTAGTAGTAAAATGAAGCAGGTGGGAAAGGCCAAGCTTGCGTATAATTGGCTCACCTCCACCCCAGTGCAGGACCACTGCCTGGGGCCCTCTATCCCCGTGCTTCTCCTCTCTACTTCCCCACAGACCAGCATCCCTGCCATTTGGACTGGATCTCTCTCTCACTAGCACAGGCTCTGATACTCTTACGGTAGCACTCCCTGGAAACACAGCTCGTTCTGAAATCCCAATAATCAGCCTCCATCAGTCTTTGCTCCCACATTGAAGGAGGGTTCAGGAGAATATTTCACCTAGAGAACAGGGAGGCTTAAGGACGGACACACTGGGGGCCAGGCATCAGGATGCTTGGTTCTTTGTGACAATGTGTTTACACAGCAAGTGGCATCTCCTGCTCTTGGACTTCAGTTTCACTTTCTCTAGTTATTTCCTAGTTCCTCAAACTGAGATTGGGAGTGAAAGTAAGACAATCTCCACATTCCCACAATGGACAAGAGGAAACCATGGCCAAAAGAATGTGAATGCCCAGATCCAGGCTATCTCAGGAACCAATTACTTGAGCAAAGCCTTCTTTTGGGTCAGTCTCCCACCCTGCCACTGAGTCTCCAGCTTCACTCCTTCAGGACTTCTCCCAGGACAGCTCTTTGTTAACCTTCTCTGAACCTGAACAAAGGAAGCCACTTATCATCCAAACTACAGTGTGTCAGCCACACCAGGCTGGAGATACACCTTGGCTCTTCATCCGTTTGACCAACAAATATTGAGCACCAAGTATATTCCAGGTACTATTTTAGGCATAAGGATCAGCACACACTAAAAGTAGACAAAGTCCCTTTTTCTATAGGTTATATTCTGGTGGAGGGACATACTGTTGCTTTATTTGTTAAGAGTGAGCAGACAATAAACAAACCAACTATGTGAGATGATTATGGGGCCAATTAAGAACAATGATGGTGGGTAAAAGGATATGCAATTAATAGCAGGGATGAGTCGCTGTTTTACATAGGAAGATCAGGGAAGGACCCTCTACTACGGGAACATGTGAACATAACCTGAAGGAAGTGAGCAATGTGTTTATCCAAGGGAAGAATGTTCCAGGCAGCAGGAGGGCAAAGGCTCAAGACAAC